TTTTCCCCTGTTATAGTTAAATGTGTCTTTTCCTCTTTTATAAATAAATGTGTCTTTTCCCCTGTTATAGATAAATGTGTCTTTCCTCTGTTATAGATAAATGTGTCTCCACATCATAAAAGCTATTTTTTACGAAGCTTAGCTTTGTCACTGCGGGCAAACAAACATGTAATTGAATAATCCCGCTGACCAACTTATTTTCGCATATATATATATATACATTAATTTGTCGGGCAGTTAAACAAAGTTTTATTGGACACAAGATTTTTCTTTTTTTTTCAGTCAGTAGATGTTCATAAACTTTGGTAGTGACTTTCGTGAGGATGTTTGGGCAGCTTATGGCCATTTTATCGTTGTTTCTAATGTTACTATTTGTAAGCCTATACAGTAGTTCTTCGCAAAATTAAAATTTAAAGAAACTTCTCCATCAGGACATTTAATGTTAGTGAAATAAATTAACGTTATTTCTCACTTACTGTGCTTGTCTCCACAAGATAGCGATACAAATTAAAGTCTTGAAGGCTATCCGCATTTCTCATCAGTTACTAATTAATACAGCAATCAATGCATGATTCAATTTGGGGTACTTAGGAAGCAATTACAAGATGTTTCTATGTGACTCTGAGTTAATTAATTTAATCGGTCATCTATAAGAGCATTAAATACTTGATAATGAAGCATGACGAGTAATTCCCTGAATACAAACTTTTGTCTAAAACTTTCTGCAATGCTCACTGGAAGAGAGCGAAAACTTGTTTAAACCTAAGACCCCGATACATGCTATGTTGTTAATGACAAAAATATTGATGTAAGTTAGTATTTTGTAATTAAAAAGGTACCTAAAATCGCTAGAACGACTAGGTGGATGAGTTTTAATTGTTCAAAGCCTGTAATATTAATGTATTTAGTGTTTAATTTGATATATATATGTACCCAATCACAGGGTACTATATTTCAGTTCAAAGTCGTGTTTTATTAAATGTGTAAAGCTGAGGCTATTAAAGTTTGAAACCGCTGAGAGGTTTGTGTTTATCTAAAGAAACAACCTAGAACACGAGTTTGCAAATAGATTCAGATATTTATTTCACTAATATTCGTTTCCTTATTTCTTAAGCTTTCATGGTTAAACGAAATATGATATGCAGTTCTGTAAATTAGAAAGTTTATGAATCATTGTGATTAAAGCTAAACTGATTAATCACACTTTATTAGGGTTACCCTTCTTATTTCTGGTTGAACTTGCTTTTCCCGCGATAATAGCCTAAACTAAAAGTGGCATAGTATCCACAAGATGTATTCTTCGAGTGTTGCTTATTCATAGGGGTGTGGATTGTCTTTTTAATTACTCTTCAGATGTCGGTATAGGATAACAGTGGTGAATTCGATACTTAATTATATTTCAAAGAAGTGGACTGAAGTCAGCTATCATGTTCTTTGAACCATTTTCAGACTTTATGAATGAGATGGACCGTTGCATTATTGTCATGAAAGGCTTTTGTTTATCAGGGTGGATATACAGCACTGTGGGCTGGACATGCATGGGTGACAACAACGCTCTAAGGATAAAAAAAACAGCCCTTAGCATTCCCACATAATCACACCACTTCATGCGTCTTCCACTGTGTAACAATGTAGGCAGGATCAAGTGGTCTATGTGTTTTCTCCATGTTTTTACTACATTACAGCACACATCATGTCTTTAAGTAGTTCATTGTCCACTGTGTCGGTTCAAGGTGTCACTGAATGCTTAGAATCTGAGACAACGTTTAAAATTACACAATATAAGTACAACAAATAACAGACGATGTTCCAATCGACCAACTAGTTCAAACAGGGGTGAAGGCTTCATCACAGTCAACCATATCATGCGAAGAAGATTACAAAAGCTACTATATAGCTAACAACTAGTCTGAAAATAGCTTTTGTCTGATGCAAACTGAAAAGCCAATTATTAAAACCCAGTTGAAAACGGCCTAGTGTAAAATATTTTATAAAAATAATACGACACAACGTTTCAAATTACACAATGTAAAAATTTTCAAGTCTACGGGATCATACTTTTTCCTGGATATGTCACCAGCACCCGAGAGATATAGATTACTCTTAATAACACACTTATTCTAGATAATCTTTGTGGTGAAATATTGAAAGAAACGTAAGTTTAATAACTGTGTGTGTTATTGAAAACAGTATGAATATTCAAGGGTTTATATAACATGTTATTTTGGATTCATAAAGCCTGTTGTTTTGGATTTATATACAGCTTATTGTTTGATAATGTAACTATTGCAGAGTCTGTACTTTGTTGATACATTAATTTAGTACAGTAGTTTTTTATAGCATTATGTTATGAACCCTATTTTGCCCCAGTATAAGCCCTATATATAACACTTACATAAGAAAAACAATATGATGAAATAGGTGGAAAAGTATCCGTGAACTAAAAGTTAGTGTGACTAAAAACCCATGTGATTATCTAGTTAGATCTGGCTGACCGACAAAAACAAAATAAAAAACAGTAGTTAAAAACATTAAAAAAACTCAATAATTTATTACTTTAAAAAATATATATTGACGAAAACTTGATTCATATGTTTGGATGTTATTGCACTTTCTTTAGATAGTATGACTCAATACTGTTAAACCTTATCTTAACTTATACAGACGTGCTTGCAAAACTATGATTTTATATACTAATATCGTTAATAGAACAACCAAAATGTCAATTTAGAAATTTTAATATCTGAACACCCGAGGTTATTAATCAGAACGCTACAAAATGAGTTATCTGTGCTGTGCCCACAATGGCTATCGAAACCCAGATTTTAGTGTTATAAGTCTTCAAACCTACAGCTGAGCCACTGTAAGCCTACACCCGTTTGCTCACAAACTATGAAGTAATTTATCAGCAGTCTTTAACTTCAACAGAGAATTTGTGGATAACATTGCGCTGTTTTAGCATTTTGAGCATGAACCAAAACTGTAGGACAGAGTGAGGAAAAAAGTAGTTTCCTTTAGATAAAGTATATGATAATATCCTGTAACTTGTTAAAATAATTTGGAAATGATATCTTGAAGTAAAAAATAATCCCAAGTAATTATATTTCGATGCTTAAGTACAGCCAGAATGTAAATTAAATATAACGATTAATATTACATATGTTATTACCTTTTAAAAACTAAATCATTCCAAAACCCAACTTATTTTCAGCTTATTCCCGAAAATATTTCCCCTGATAAACAGAATTACACTAGAATCTTCTGGATAGTAACACTGAATAGGTTAAAAATAATTTCAGGTGAAAACAATCAATCAGGCAACTTAAGAATTTGAAACAGCTGTCTTTACCCTAGTATCAGATATCTTTTCTTTGATAATTAGTGAATCTTACGCATACAAATATTTATACATACTTTATAGCTAAACACCAGGGTTTAAAACGAGCACGCATACATAATAAATTAACAGTACAGCAACAAAGTTCAACGCAGTTTCATTGAAAGGTATTTAAATCCCTCATCAATTCTTTTTGGGCGTCAATAAAAGAGAGTAATGATGTAATTATAAGTTGCAAGTCAAAGGTAATAATGAAGATTTGGAACAACGTATAATATTGTGTATTAGAAATACAGGATTTTCAATAAGATAATAAAGAGTTTATGAAAAATATTTTACTTAGTTACTTTTTGTGGTAATTTTGTTTCACATACAATTAACTCTCAGAAAGCTTTCTTTTGTTAACTTTTATCATAAAATTTTAACACAAGAAAAGTATATTTTACTGTCCAGTGAAATAGTTTAATTTGAAAATAAAATTTATTTTTCGCTTTAAAGCAAGCAGTTTAGTTTGATCTATTCAATATAATAAAAACAGGATATTGTATGGCCCTTTCAATTATCTGTAACAAGAATATAATTCAACAGTATTGAATAAAAAGAAGCATAAGCATTTTTATGATATGTTTGTGATATTTCGATCCAAAATCTTACATTAAATATATCTGAATTATATGGAGGTGTTAATTTGAAAGTGTGGATCATAGCTTTTTAGTCGTTATCAACGTCCGCAACATGAAAAAGGTACATAGTGAAATCTAGTTGATAGGCATGTCCTGTAGAAAGCTATCAGTTGTTCAAGTCGAAGACAAGCTGTTATATATCGAATTAGAATCCCCTTTCTTTTCTGTGGCTGCATGCTCGCATAATATTGCTTAGAGCGTACTCTTGCAATGAGAAAAACAATTATTTTTTATATATTTCTCTGGAATTTATGATAGACCCAGATGTAAGTGAAAAATTTATTTATAATTATTATAAATAACTACTAAAATATAGTTCGAGTGTCCAAATTCTGTATTTCGTCAAAGAATTAACTGAGCTAGTCCGGGCTGCAAATGAAAATAATAGCTGATGATATATATCTTAAATAAATACATTGACCATTAACAAGGAGATAACATGTTTCAAAGATAAATTCAGATAAGTTTCAATATAATAAAACGTGTGTTGCTTCTTGTAGACGGCTCTTTTGACTAGTTAGTAACAATAAAAAATATGTGCTTCAAAAGTTCAATTAATGAAAAGATTTTGTGCAGTCAAGCAATAATCCCTACGTGGCTACATTGCAAAGCAAACTGCTATAAAATAAAGTGTAGACTATATTGAATATAGCGTAATTGAACTTGAGAGAAACCACTTTCAAGATTATTTGGTGATGACTCATTAACTGTATAGTATGGGCACCTAGAATCACGTTATACAGTATGTTTCTAATACAGAGAATAAATGGTGTTTGTAATCCTGGTAATATATATATATTCCAGTAAAAGTGTTTTGTACATTATTAAAATAATTGTTAATTAAAATAATTATCTTTGAAACATATTAAAATCAAATAAAAATGTCTTAATAACATTCATGCGTCTACCTTTCAGTAATCAACAAAACTGTATATACATATATATATATATATATATATTATATACTTTATTGGTAGTCATATTTCACAAAAGCATACACAAAATTATACGTCAACAACAAAGTGTACATCAAATATACATTGACTCATTAATTTATATACACATCTTAGCTGAATTATGATTTTCTAAACATTAAGCTCAAAATAGCAATGACTATTATCAGCAAACATTTGTTTTACAACACCTATATACGAGCTTGAAATACACTTATTGTTCTTTCTATAAAAGCAGTTTAAGTATCATATCTTCAGGTTCGTTGTATCGCTTCCTCTGAAACATTTTTTAAACCATTTATACTTCCATTAGCAATGTCTTACTATATTCTAAATCTGAGAAACATTTTAAACTTGATTTGAAATGTGTTTTCAAGTTTTCCAAAATAAAGAATTTTAAGCTGATCTTAATAATTTTCTTGAAGTTACACAATTCTTCAATTAGAATACAATATTTCTTTAGTATATATTTTTTTCTTCAGTTTGTTTAATGTCAATAAATTCCAAGGATATTTTCATCATAAATCAATGCAGACTTGAAATAATAAAATTTAACTCGGAAATAACTAGGCTACCAAATCTGTCTTTGTCTGCATAAAACAAGTATAGATTGTAGATTTTTTTTTCATTTAAAATGCACTGAAGTAAGTATTCTGAAAAAAGAAGTGAAGCATAGATTAAAGTATATATATACATATATATATATTTTATCAACTATTTTAACACATAAGCAAACCCTTATGGAGAAAATATAATAAAAGTTTATGCTAAGGTAGTTTTAGTAAAAAAAAAAGGTATCTATTAAAGAAAAGACAAAAACAATATCAACAAAAATACACATTTCAATCTTTCAGGAACTATATCTTCAAGGACTTAAAGATAATTTCAACATTCAATAATGAAGTAAAATGGATATAGTTAAATATTAATTGATGAAAGTCAACTAAACTTTACAATAATGTCTCATGGTAATAAACCTGAATACCTTTTACTAAATGCACAATGAACTATTTGTACTGTTGTCCAACCACACAAGAAAAACCTAAATCTGTTCATATCTATAAAGGTCTGAAAATGATGATTGATACAAGGTTTTTGTTGAGATATATAATCAACACAAAACTTTGAAAACAGGTTTTAATCAGTACCCTGGAGAGAACATGCTTTAACGGATGTGTCATTTAAACCTATGGATTTAATTATATATTGATATTATATCTTTGGAAAGTCTACAGAAGAATCGATATGTGACAATTAAAATTGTTTTATTTTTATACAAGCGTGGATATCGAAAAGGAAAATATTGGAGTTTCAGTATTTTGATTATATACATGGGAAGATTTAAAGTGTCAAATGGAAATGAGTATTGTACAGCAACATATAATTAAAGCAGGTTTAGTGATAAATTCCACACTCTACATAATTAAACTTATTTTTGAGACGTGTAGATGACTAGAAACGTTACATGAATAATAAGAGACGTAAATAACCAATAGTTTGAATGGATCGTAGTCTTATATTCAAAATCATGTGTAAAGAAGCTCTACATATTTACTGACGAATTATAAAAAACAACAACATTATTATGATGTTATGTAAACACATACACAAAATATACTAAAAAGTAGTTTTGTATTAAAGTTAAAGGTGAATAATGAGGTGTGTAAACTTCAAATACGTTATATCGGCACTATTGAAATCTGTGAATGTTCCAGATGTAGTCTTACCCGTATCACATGACTTTTAATGGATCAAAACTAATGAGCCCACCATGCGTGCAAGAGAACATTATATCAAACTGACATTCAGTGTGGTATTTCTTTTGTTTCACGTGGTGCACACAGTTCTTCATCAATGAGCAAAAACGACTGAACCGAAATGAACTGAGGACTGAGGCGATTAAAAATTTTGAGGATGACTTAAATACTAATCAGTGCTACCGCTTAACTAAGTAGGAATATGGATAAAAATTAAATATGGCATTTAGGTTTTTTTCTGGGCCACTTTGTAGCTACATTTTAAGAGTAATTAGCCATTACCCTAAGATACAAAATATTCAATAAAAATAGAACACAGAAATGATTAAACAAAGGAAATATTTCAAACTAACTTATCTATTTGCTTGATCTAATCTTAATTAATACATTCTAATGTCAGTAAGTTCCTCATTTGTTTTAATGTATTTGACTTCCATATACAATATCAGTGTCTTGAGTTATTGTAATAAATAAACATAAAATTGCATCTTTCTCTATCTAAATAAGTTATAACTGAATTAATGCCGTAGAAAGAAAACAATTTGCCAATTCTATAATATCATTAGTCCAGTGTATGTATGAGGAAGTGCATTATAAAACTCTGCTAAATATTTCATAATATCATTATTCCATTGTATGTATGAGGAAGTGCATTATAAAACTCTGCGAAATATAATTTAATGTTGTGCATCGATCGGCAATTTATAAGTTTTTCTTCACATCTGTGCCATTAATCATTACTGAAATTGGTTATATTTAGTTTAGTCAAATTTTATTTAACGACTGTGTTTAGTTCACTCATAAAATAAATGTCCCACATATACTGAAAGGTCTTTGGTCCATTTAAACAGAGAAATAAAACGTTAATGTCCCTGAAATAGATAGCATTTTTGGTAACAGTGATAACATGCAGGTGTGAAATCTGTGACATCAAAATAACATTTGACATTTAACCCTATTTCATATTCACTTCGTTCATTTCTTTCACACTGAAATGATGTTAATAACTATTAAAAATACGCACTCTTGATACACATTGTCGAAATAAACACAAGTGCAACTTACTGACAACCAAACACAGAATGTACTGTTCAAATAAACATAAGTGTATTGTACAGTTAACCGATTAGAGGATCAGTCGTTCAAACAAACACGAGTGTAATGTACTAATAATCGACCACAGGACCAGTCGTCCAAATAAACACAAGTGTAATGTACTAATAATCGACCACAGGATCAGTCGTCCAAATAAACACAAGTGAAATGTACTAATAATCGACCCCAAGATCAGTTGTCCAAATACACACAAGGGTATCGTACTAAAAATCAAACACAGGATGTATCAGAAATAAAGCATTTATTTATCGTTTATACACAATACGCACTGTGCGTATGTTTTATTTTCCCGAAATAAACTGTGTGCGACAGCAGCGTCTCCCAAATGTTAGTAAACTGTATACTTCTAATAGAAACGCAACGGATTCTTTGCTATTAAAATAAATTCCGACTTCTGCGTTAACACTATTCATCATAAAGCTTTCATAATTTGACAAAAATCAAGAATACTATATGTCAGTTTTACCTCCTTGATTCCCACGCTATGTATCTTTGAATCTAACGTCTGCAACAATTCTATGATCGCAGGATTCAAAAATCAATACTGTATTTTGAATTCGAATAAACGAAAAGAACCAAAATATGATTAAATGTCCTTCTGATAGTAAGCAACGAAGTGTACTTGACTTTTGTTTAAGAAGAAGAGTGAGGAGTCTGCTCCTCAATTTATTGTTTCTTATGCGACTGAAAGCCTCTCGCAAAAATCGACCTAGTCAGTAACTGCTAGTACTAGAGTGTAATGTTAAAAAGTAATTAAAGAAATTCCACCATACTCTCCGTACGTACATTAAACAATAACTTACCGCGTTTGCAGCTGATTACCTAAATTGAGATTAATTTAAGTTGGTAAATTTCAATAGTATTTATTCACTGTAATTCACTGTAGTACTTTGTGAAAGATTTATGCCAATAAAGCGCTTTGCTTTCGGAATACGATTATGATTACAAAATTATTATTTCCGGTCGGCAAAAAATGATTGGCTGTCAATGTAATCTTCAGTGTTAATAGGTATTTTAACGTTTTTCCTCCAAAGGAAATAAAACTATGTTCTCAAATGAATAAAAAAATCTATGTTTCAGGGAAATATTTCCTATTTTAAGAATAAAAGTGCGTTTCAAGTTTGTTTGTTGAATTTAGCATAAATCTGCGCTAACCGCCAACTCTTGGGCTACTTTTGTCAGACCAAAGTGAGGAAAGAGATTTCATTTTTGGTGATAGCGGGACATTTCACAGTCCGGCGAGTTAACAACTGGGCTCTATTCGACTATGTTAAAACATAAGAATAACATAATACCAATTCTAAAGTATTAGGGAGAAACGTAAATCATCAAGTTACATATAAAGGCGATCCACTAGAGAACGTTCTTGGCACTGGAATGAACAGCGGAAAAGATATAGTTCAAACTGCATTTATGGCTACCGTGTAAAACATGGCATGGAAGCATAGAGTTAGTTGCTATATCTTCGCCATGGTGTCGTACAACTAAGTTAGTTGCTATATCTTCGCCATGGTGTCGTACAACTAAGTTAGTTGCTATATCTTCGCTATGGTGTCGTACAACTAAGTTAGTTGCTATATCTTCGCTATGGTGTCGTACAACTAAGTTAGTTGCTATATCTTCGCCATGGTGTCGTACAACTAAGTTAGTTGCTATATCTTCGCTATGGTGTCGTACAACTAAGTTAGTTGCTATATCTTCGCTATGGTGTCGTACAACTAAGTTAGTTGCTATATCTTCGCTATGGTGTCGTACAACTAAGTTAGTTGCTATATCTTCGCTATGGTGTCGTACAACTAAGTTAGTTGCTATATCTTCGCTATGGTGTCGTACAACTAAGTTAGTTGCTATATCTTCGCCATGGTGTCGTACAACTAATTTGTCATTCATGTAAAATAATCATAACAAACTTCTCTGAAGGGTGAAGAATCAGAATTATAGAATTTTGATTTATTTGTTTGAAAATACCAGATTTAATATCGGAACTGATTTCACTTCTACAATGTACTACCTATGAAAGACTGAATTCACTTATAAAATCACATAAATTTTTGTAATATAGGCTCTAAAGGTTCTACAAAAAATCTTTATAAAAGACATGTAAACTTTATTATGACGGACACGTATCACTCACTGAGGAGCGGCCTTGTTATATTCACTGAGGAGCGGCCTTGTTATATTCACTGAGGAGCGGCCTTGTTATACATTAACCATTATTAACATAATGGGTCGTACTATAGTGTTCATTAGAAAGCAGGGTTGGCTTGTATAAGAAGTTTAGGAAGGCTTAGCCTCCCCAAATAAGCTTTCCCTCACAGGACATCATTGTCACCAATTCAAAAATATTGTGGGGAGATAGAGAGAGAGAGAACGAAGGAGGATGTATGTATATCACTGAAAAGAGTTTATTTATGTAGGAGCTCGAACTGGCTCTTCCCATAATGCATCCCCCCACGCACACAAAACACACACACCTGACAGAATAGACTACCCAAAGAAAACAGTTACGCGCCACCTATGCTAGAAAGTACAAAAAAAGTAATTATTTCCCCCTGTATCTAAGATAATTAATTATACTTATCCAGGTTATCTAAGAAAAAATAATCCAATTTAAAGCATTATAATCGCCGTAAATCTGCAAACAGTGAATGAAGTAACAGCGTTATTGAAAATTTAGGACTATTAGGAGCGTACGTTTGTGTTGGGAACAAATAAATTCCGAGATGGTACAGCTGTAAATTCCACAACTGGAAGGATATATATAATTTATAGACACAAGA